ATGTCTAGCCAGGGCGCCATGACCATTAGGCCTGCACGCTTTTCCAGCCGGAACCATTGCAGAAGATTAAACAAATGCAATATTTCCAATTAGTTTAAAAATCTCCGAACTATTGCAAATTAATACTCTACCTTAAGTAATTATTAACCACACATTGGGAGCTATCAAAGCAGCTACCATTGAGACCAGCCGTCTACAGTTAAAATTGAGAGATCGTCAGTTACTCGACACCTTTTCGCGTCTATTATAAATACCTTGAATATATACCTTTAAAATATATATCTTGTACTGATGGATTCTTCTGAACAAGGTTGGCAAACTCGGCCTTGTTATTGAGCAGTTTTTTTCTTCTGTGGAGATCGATAATCTTTGGAAACGGCTTTTCATCTTAAATTTTTAACCTCCTTTGCCTTTAATAAGATATTTTAAATTAAAAGAACAATTACAAGGAAAGTTTACTACAAGGAATGATTACTACAGGAGCAGAGCAACAAAATGTTTGAGTCACTTACAGGACCTTACCTATAAATGTGTTTCTCAGAGCTCTTGCAATAACAAACAAACCACGCGATGATTCACTGAAGCATGTGAATTCAACCTTCAAACTTGAGATGTGTTTTTAAAACCATCTTTAATCAGTTACGCTCGGTTGAATAGCTGTAATGTTTTTCTCAGTACGTTTTGCAATGATTGACGGACATACATACAGCCAGGGCTACACAATTTCAAGAGATGACCGATATATTTCTGTCTCGTTTAGTCCTACAACAAGGTGTTCCCGGCACTTAAAGTTAACAAGAACCCGTGAGTTGGCGACATGTTTTTGTTTTGATCATTCGCCGATCACGTGATTGAACCTTATTGATAGGGTAAGGTCATGTCACAAAAGAAGAAGTAAATTGTCTCTTAACAAAAAGCCTTCTTCGTTAAATGATTGATGGAATAAACGGAGATGATAACCTGGAATGTTTTAAATGAAAGAATCAGGAATGAGGCAAAGTTGAATAATCGTAGAGAGAAAAATTCTAAGTTTGAGGAAAGCAGAAATTCAATTAAAACACAAAGGACCGCGGAATAGAAATTTTTCAAAATCGACTGCTTTGTGAGAGCAAGGAATAATTGGAATGGAAGAGAAATCACATCACGTAAAATTGGCGGATGTAAAGAAAAGTAAATAAGATAACCTATCTGACTGAGCGTGCGAACTCGCGAAAATGTCGGTAGACATCTAAAAGTTACCAACAGAAAGAAACAACGCTTTCTGGCAGTTAAGAAAACATTCCTTGCAAGTGTTATCTTTTTAAAGCCTTTCTGAATGGGTGCGAAGTTTTATGAAACTTAATGCATGAGTATCGTCAATTTTCAGAGGAACTTTCTGCATCAGGCAGACAAAATGCAGCAAAACCTCTGAAGCAGAATGTTATGCCAGGCTTCCCGAGTTATTCAGTTTAAGGAAGTCTCTGGTATGCCTATCAAAAGCCAGGCTCGCAGCGTTATTATTTTAAGGAGGCTTCTAGTGTACCTATCAAATGCTTATCCAAGCGATATAATTTTTCTTTCAGCGTAATGAAGATCACCAAACTAAGAAAAGAAGCAAAGTCCTCGGTTTGTCTTACCTTATCAATGAGAATCCTCCGTGGTATATCTGCCTCTTGCTGGGTTTCCAGGTTTGAACAGTTTGCCTAAAGAATGTTGTATCTTTTTTATTTTATATGATTGATATGATATTACTGATTTAGAGCAGCTCAAACAGAATAAAACACTTATTTCTGGTGGAAATGATTCATCCTCAGCAATAAAATGCCATTATCTTTACTCTATCATATATCGATTCAAGATACGACTATCATTTGTTTTATTCAAGACATAGCAACTTTATCTAAGTGTTGTTGTCTTTAGCTTAAAAAGCTAACTGGGCTAATCAAGAAAAAATTAACTTGCATAATCAGAATCCTACAGCTTAGAATAGGCTTTATACATCTGACATGATCGAGAGTTAATACTAAAGTAGAAGAGGGGAGGGGAGGGAGGTTGCCTCTTACCGCTGGTTTTCGTCATCACGATTTTTTCGTCTCAGGACATACATGATTTACAGAGACATTAGGTCCTGAAGTAGATCGAGCCATTTTTGTCTTAGTTTGATTACATGCAGGATTTAATTAAGTTCCCGTTACACTTCATTGATAAGAACACCTCCTCATGGTCGCTTCGTTAATTCACTTAAGTTAGCCCTGCAGTGTTACGACTGCGTTTTAACAGCACCCAACTAAGTGGATAAACCACTACCGCGGCATCTTGATGACGGAGATCCTTGTTTCAGTAGATACATGTGTTTGTGTTCTTCTTTCGCACCAAGAGTCAAACGCTTCAGCGAAATACAGTCGAACCTCCACTAACGGCCACCTCACTACAATGGTAACTTCTCCACAACGGCCACTTTTTTTGGTCCCGACGACTGTTCATACGTCGCTCCCTTAACTCCCCATAACGGCCACCTCTCCACAACGGCCACTTCTTCTGTCCTCATAGTAGCCGACTGTATTGTTAATGTCCAAACTTTCTTGCCTTCATTGTCTTATCTTTGTTTTTCTTTTCCAGCACTACTTGACCATGTTAGGAGGAACACTAGCCATTCCGTTCATTCTCAGTGGTCCAATGTGTTTTGCTAATAACACACTTGCTATCAGCGAGGTCCTAAGTACCATATTCTTCGCGTCCGGCCTTGTGACCTTGCTTCAATCCACATTTGGAGTCAGGTATGGAAACACGACGACACAAGTCTCTAAATATCATTAAAATCGCTAATTTTCTAATTATATTAATTGTGATATGTATGGTAACATTGAATTGTTGCCCTGTTGAATGTTTTACAGTGTACCAACGCTCAATCAGGGTTTTTTCCTGATGATATTTTTCATGAGGTGGAAAGTATTTTCATCCTTCTCCAAGCCTTGTAACTTTGTCTTCAGATCTGCTATAAAGGGGCTTGGTGAATTTTTGTTAATCACATTAAATTTACCCATGCAAAATGACGCTATTTACTTAAAACTACTCCCATCTGATGACAACATTTGAGCAAGTTTTGGCGTTTTTTAGTTACCTCGAGTAATTTTGCCTTTCTGACCAACTTTTGAGCAAAATATTGGTTCAGATCACATACCAAGCACAGAAAGGCCAATGATTTGGTAAAAGGAAATTTCATGAATTTTTATCAACCTTTTAAACACATAACCTGTCACTTGACAGCATTTTGCAGGCCTGCTGAGATCCATTTCTACGATTTTAAAGGATAATAGGCTAAAAGGACATTCGGAAAGACGTCAAATGAACCAATGACAGCAACTTTTTGCAGTTTTGGCAATATTTTAGCAACTTTTTAACGTTTCAGTGAGTAACGTTGTTAGCATTTTACGAGCACAGTCAGTAGAGGGCTACCCATCTGCCTTACATTTTGGGTAATTGACACGCCTTAAAGGACTATCAAACAGTAACGGCCTTGCAAATTATTTTCTATGAGCCGCAATGACTCCGTTTATAATGATTACAGACTGCCAATCGTTCAAGGTGGAACATTCTCCTTTCTCACGCCTACATTTGCCATCTTGTCCTTGCCACAGTGGACTTGTCCAAAAGTTAATGGTAAGTAAGCTTCATTTTCTGAGTTTCATGGTTAAAACGTTTTTAAATTAAAATAACAGTACAAGCTTTACAGTAGGTAGATTGAGTAGTTCATGTGACAAACACATGCCGAGATTTTAAAGAGGAAGCTCATATTCGCTGAGAGAAATCCTGCCTCCATGTAAGGCAGGTCAAAGCGGTCCACTAAACTCTTACGTTCTGATGGCATACCTTTGCTCTCTAAGAGTTCCGTTTTTCATTTTCAGTCTCTGTGAACTACTGAATTTGTCTATAAATGATCTTTAGAAATTTAATTCGAAATAGTAAAATAATCAAAGATTGATTTTGACCGTTGAAAGGGCAGAGAATGTCTTGCTAAAAAACTGAAGGAGACCGCAATGTTCCTGTTGGATCGTTAACTTCATGGTCATTATGTACTTGATATTTAAGTAACATTTTGTCTTTTGAACAGACTGAACAAAGCTCTGATTAACTCTTTACATTCCAACTTCAGTATGCACTTTCGCTATACGTTTCTCCTAACGTTCTGACACTAATGGTGATTATTTCCTTTATTTTCGTGACCTTAATATGTGATTTGAGGGTGATATTTTAAAGGGTAATAAGATGCTGGTCACTCTTAATTTTAGGGGTCTTGTGGCTAAAGGAAAGGCACCCTCAGTAAACATATAAATTCTATCTCTGCCTTTGCAAGAATACACTAAATTATACAATTTTCCGCAGTTTGAGATACTCAAAGTAGCGTCACCTTTAAAAAATATTTTTTCCAATGCTCAACATTGTACGGCAGCATACGATGCGCTGAACTCAAGCAGTTACTCCCCTCGCCGTTATAGTTATCGCAAAAAACAAAAAAACAAAAAAAAACCTTATTTGGGTCAAAGATGCCTTTTTGTGCAGCAGATAACTAAAGAAGGAGTGGGACCGAGTTACAGCATAGTAACTAGGTAAGGCTTCTGAGCATGCTCTTAAAATGGCGGTGTCTTTAACAAATTTGAAAACAATTTACCGAGGGTTAACTTACACTTTTGAATCTCGAGTCGCGATAGGTGTTACAAATTCATATTTATTTTTTTAAATTAATAGAGATAAAAGTTCAAAAGTTTGTGGAGCATACTTCTCAAACTTATTTTGCCCATTTTAGGTTGGAAAATTGCCATCTATGACAAATACACATACCAAGAGATCTAAAGATTCTTTTACTTTCCTTTCCACAAAATGTCAAATCAGTACTGCCATGCTTGATCTATGTTTGTGTTTTTAGATGCAGAAAATGAAAACTCCACTGCAAGCTCTCTCGACAGTGATGTCATCTGGAAACCTCGAATGAGAGAGGTAAGATTACACTGGCTCTGAAGACATGAAAGATGGCTGGTTATTGCTATTCGTGGATAAACAGCCTCTCGGTTTAAAAGTTCAAAATATTTCCATTATTTTTTAACGCTAATTATTCAAAGTACTATACAGCGATACTTAGGAATCACTTTTAGTTCCTTCTACATAGCTTTGACAAAATGGAAGAAATAGATGTCTCGAAACCTCCAAAAGTACTATTAATGAGGCGTGAGTAGTCCAGTGGTCAGTGCGCTGGACTCCGGGTCAGATGGCCCAGGTTCAAGTCCTTGCTGGGGCCGGAGGTCCCGTCTCCTGCACCTATCAATTAGTTAATTTCGGCTGGGGACGTTAAAGAACCCACATCGCGAGATTACTGTGACGTGGTCTGGCCTGTTTATTGGGAATGGGGGGAGGGGGCATCTGTAAAATTTCTCCTTTATTAATTGTAAACTGCCGCCCGCAGTCTGGAAAAGTCCCCCGCACAGTGATGGAAATGCGCGATAGAAATCGATCTTTATTATTATTATAATTATTATTATTACCATTAATTGCAAATTTTGATAATGATAATAATAACAATAATCATAAAAATTACAATTTCCCTGGTTGTGGTTGGTTAAAAAAACTCCTATTTTTCACTAATTCGCTTGCCAAGTTGTCATCGGACAGTTCAATAGGTAAATCACGTTCAAAGTTGTAGTTTAAATCAACCAATCGCATTCATATTTTGATTAAAGTCGATTTCAGAGCGACATGAAAAAATTAATGGCTCCTTCGTCAGTCTTTTAATGCTAATTTTCTCTTTCTTTCATAACTTGGCTGTTCTTCTTTTCTCGGAAATAAAAAATAATGAAATAAACAGGTCGGACTCCAACTGCGCGGTCGTTCGATTTTGTTCCCACTCGTAGGATTATAGACCGAATTGGACTCCTGCAAGGTCAATGCCTCCAATATTTTTAGGAATATTTTAAACGTAATAATACAATCTACGCGCGCGCCACTAGACAAAGCAACCTTTTACATCCGCCTACTGTGAAGACTGAGATTGCAAAACAATCTTTCCACTCTTTTTAACGAACTATCTTGATGGTATTTCGTATTTATTTACCTATAAATCTTTTATTTGTACATAGTTTTCTATCCATATTATTATCAGTATGAGTGTATTGCATATGTATATTATAGTTTTAGTACATTGTTGTGCTCAGGGCTCCCATTGATAACAGACAGCTTTTTGCATCTGAGGAAGCTACCCTAAACGGTATAAATCAATAAAGGTTCTTATTATTATTATTCCACTCCGTCTTAATAATTAATATGATATCTCGAAATGGATCGAATTCATAATTGTTTGACAAGCTTGCAGAGGTATTATTTCGCTTTAACACTTAACGCTTCGGAAATTTCTGGCTCAAGGGGAAAAAACTCCTATAACCTAAGTCGTCATAATTTAACCAAACAACTACTTTTTGACGTTCACCCTACATATCCTTGTGTTCACAGAATAAACCAACTCTTAATACTGTTGATGATCCCTATGTTTCCTCTGGTCGTTCACAGCTTTAAATGTGACCGAAGTTTTTTGAATGACAGATCAAGGGATACTTTGTTATTTTCCCAGATCCAGGGCGCCATTATTGTTTCCGCATTGTTTCAAATCGTAATTGGCTTCACCGGTCTCATCGGTGTGCTACTTCGGTTCATTGGACCGCTGACCATAGCACCTACAATTACTCTAGTGGGCGTGGCACTGTTTCACGTGGCAGCAGATCATGCAGGTGAGTTAACCGAATGAAAACTATTATTGTCTGCTGATCCCATTTCACTCGATGAACCGAACTTAAATCTATGTCACTTTTTATTTTCATTTACACAGGAAACCACTGGGGAATTTCAATGACGTAAGTCACTTCTTTCATTCATTTTCTTTTGTAACGAAATTGACCTAAGAAATAAAAGACCGGTAGTAAAAGTGTTTTAACGGAAAGTAAACAACTACTTTTGAAAAATTTCGTGGTTGGTATGAACTGTTTCGAGAACTGTTAGCTGTAAATGGCTAAAATTTTTTAACCGTTATCCGTAAATGCCATTACCCTATTGGGACCCTCTTAGACAGGCTTCATTTGCGCTAAGACGAAAATGCAGCAAAATTTTATATTTAGAGATGCATGGGTAAGAAGAGTAGCTCATTCAAAAAGGTCATGGTGCACGGGAAAGTCTTTTCTCATTACCGAAACCTGATTACAACAAGACGCTCAACTATGAAAAGCTCGGTTTCATCATGATGACATGGAGGTAAACTGTTAAGAGTGGTTTTTGATTGATTATCGTAAAAAAAGACCAAAGTGACTGCAAAGGGCAATCAATCGAAAGGATTGGTTTCGGATTTGAATCTAATTGGTTGAGAAAGTGGCTTGAATTTTCCGGGCCAATCATAACAAATCAAACTGAAGCCAGAAAAATCCCGGATCACTTTCGACACTTGATTAAAAATTGCTATATTTGGCTCATTTTTAATTTTTTTTTTCTGTACCTTTGTGACTCAGGACAATCGTGTTCATCGCTTTGTTCTCACAATACCTCACCAAAACGAAGATTCCATTTCTTGGGTACAGCAAAGACCGAGGAGGTTGTTTCGTTGGCCGTTTCCCTCTGTTTAGACTATTTCCAGTGAGTACATATGTATTACCTTTCCTGTATTTTTCACACCAAATTAAAATCTCAAAAAGAGCTGTTAGCTAGCTAAATGTAGTGGAACTAAATTGAAGTTCTTTGAATTTTTCCCAAGCCAATGAGTTCATGTATCGATTGAGCTCAAAAACATTTTGTATACTCTTGCGGATGTTTTAGCCCACTAGTACGATTTCACTTTTCTTCATTTGGGGTCAGGAACAGTTCACACAAACAAGCCCCTAAAGTACTTTGCACCTCAATAGAAAAATTTCTTTCTTTAGAGTGTTTGCAAGAAGCCTTTGAATTAACTTTCGTAACCGGCGCAATTTTTATCAAAGTCCTCTACATGAATTATCCGTCTCTAAGAGTATGTTTTCCTAATTCCATCTCACGCAGGTTATTCTGGCAATCGCATTCTCATGGATTCTGTGCGCCATCATCACTGCAGCAGGAGGTTTTCCTTCTGATCCCAAGATTCCTCAGTACATGGCGAGGACTGATGCAAGAAGTGCTGTCTTGAAAGAAGCTAAGTGGTTTAGAGTACCATACCCTGGTAAGAAACCTCACTTGGTGTCCAGTTTCTTTTGAAATGTTTCGCTATATACGCTATTTTGCTGTCTCTGTAGGACAGTGGGGCACACCTACTGTGAGTGCCGCAGGGGTTTTTGGGATGCTTGCTGGTGTCTTTGCTTCTATCATCGAATCAGTGGGTGATTACTACGCCTGTGCAAGATTATCAGGAGCACCGCCACCGCCTAAACATGCCATTAACCGTGGAATCGGAATGGAAGGGATTGGATGTCTCTTGACCGGAGCTTTAGGTAGTGGAAATGGCACAACATCGTATAGTGAAAACATTGGAGCTATTGGAATAACCAAGGTAAATAAACGCTTCAGATTAGACCAAGATATAGTGCGTGACAACCACGACCGGCATATCAAACGAGGGTTTTTCAATTCCCTCCTCTGGCACAGTCAAACACCAATACTGAACATCTCTAAATACACAATATCCAAGCGAGTAGCTCCTAAGAGGGTCTCCACGGGGTTAACCGTTAGCAAATTCTACCCAATACTCGTTTAAAAAGTTGACCATAAAAATCTGTCTTTCGACTGTAACGGGAAAAAAATTCACTGTTAGCCATAAAAAAGGCCTAAATTGTAACCGTTAGCCGTAAAACCAAAATCCCTGCTGAGACCCTCCCCTAATACTGCTTCCCATTTATTTGACATTGGGCAGCGTGGCTCTTGACCGCAGCGTGCAAAATTACCAAATCAAGTTGCTGATGAAGAAAGGTTGATAACTTTTCAGGTTGGAAGTCTGCGTGTGATTCAGTTCGGTGCCATTGTAATGATGTTCGTGGGTGTTCTTGGTAAAATTGGAGCCTTGTTTGTCACCATCCCAGACCCCATTGTTGGTGGAGTTTTCATGGTTATGTTTGGAATGATCGCCGCCGTTGGAATCTCGAATCTGCAGTTTGCTGACTTGAATTCCTCCAGGAACCTGTTCATTGTTGGATTTTCCATCATTTTTGGCTTGGCTCTACCGCATTACATGAATAACCATCCCAACGCAGTTCAGACAGGTGTGAAGAAGTTATTTTAAGATGTTATAAAGCAATTATTAATGTCACAACGATCAAGTATCGGTCAGAATCCCTACCAACTTCACTTTATAGTGGTGAAATGGGCCATGTGATAATTTCATACACGTCAAGCTTCCTGCATGATGCTAGATACAGCAATGCATACAACACCCTTTCTAGAGGTTAGTTAAACAATGTGGGAAAAATTTTGACTTTGGTTGTCCTTTAAAAAATATTTATTTTCTGTCTCAAGTGCGGGTCGAACATAAAAAGGGAGTTGGTCAATTAGCATTCGAATCCTAGTCAGTTTCGTTCTTAAGATCGGATGTTCTATCGACCAAGCTAAAGAGAAGTCCATGGCGAGGTAGGCCTCATTATGAAATGTACACTCGAGCCGCCGTGCGACCCAACCCATCCGCAGCAGATCCTGGTTTCTGTCAGGCTCTGCAAGATTAAAATGTGTCAACCAAGAAACCTGTTCATACTTTACAATGTTGTTTGTCTAAAAATCCCCAGTTACGTTCGGACTTTTTCTATGGTATTTTCAGAGGTTGTTCGGCTCGTGGTGATTACGATAACTAGCGCTGAATATATCTTCTTGTCATCAACAGGTGTTCCAGAAATTGACCAGATTCTGACAGTCCTAATGAAAACAAGGATGGCCATTGGATGTATTTCTGCTTTGATTCTGGACAACACCATCCCTGGAACCATCGAGGAACGTGGGCTCAAGGCTTGGAGGCAACACCTTTCAGATGAGAGTGACGAGCAGTGTCAAACAGCCTCCATGACAGTCTATGATCTTCCGTGTGGTCTCAATCGTATCAGTGACTACAGAGTGGCCAAGTATTTACCCTTTCTTCCTCACAACGATGAGGAACACCGAAAAAGAAGCAGTTATGAACTTAATGGTGATTCTAAAACGATGATGGAAAAAGACGCACACGTTTAGCTTGGTAAAGAGGTGAAATGTGTGCGACAAAAACAAGTTGATTATCTAATGCCAATGTAGAGGCTTTATATATCATCCACAGTGTCTTGTGTGTATATGTGAGTTCTGTAAACTATAACTATGTAATCTTATAAACAGTATCATTGTTCTTTCGGGGAAAGTGAAAATTGAAGAATTTATTATTCCCTTCGTAGTACACATACACTTTAACTGTATTCACCTGGATTTAAAATGAATAAAGTAGTTTTTCCATGCAAGCACTTAAAGTTGGAAATCTTTCCAGGAAAAATGTGGATTAAAAGAATGTAACGGTAAGATGTTTTATATAAGAAATCACTCCCCTACATTAGAGTTGAAGAAATTGCTAACAATATTTTCACTTACTTCTACGCATAACCAAGGGAATACGCTAATGTTCTAAATGCATAACACAATTATGACAACTGTACCTTCCGCAGCATGGCACTCTCCCTCACCTTTGCGACGTGAGATTAAGGCTTTATTGTTGGGGGATAAAAGTTATGAAATAGATTTCTAATACTGTATATATGGTGCTTTCTTCATAGTTTGTAAAGTGTTTGTTCTATTCAAATAAAAAAAAAGTATTCAACTTTTTCTAAATTATTTTCCATTTCGTTGCAATTCCGCAAAAAGTTAAGATCATAGAATTTCGAAAATTGTTATTCAAGCTTGGAAATGAATTTGTCTGTTTTTTTCGTACTCTGTGGAGTAAAAATTTGGGTTTCCTCCTCACAAATCTGAAATTACACTTTCTGAAAGCGGAAAACTATAAACACTAGAAGTTATGCTAGTTCATTTACATTCTTAAATTTCTGAATATCACCTATAACCNATAGTCTGGTTTCGGGGGCGAGCCACAGAATACACATAAGGCGCACTTTTAAAGTCGTGTCAGCTAAGCCTATAACCCAGGAGAGATAAGCAGATAAGGCATGTTGAATTACAAACTACAACAACCACTGCATTTGCAATCAAGTTCATTTTTAACATTTCGCCATAGCAAAGCTTGCTGAAGAAGACAGACTCGAAACATTTGAATTCATAGGGCAGCTAATGGTGAGTGTGGTTGACACTTTAGCGAAGTAAAACAGTCAACCTTGTCGTTATTGCACGACCTATTCTAACCTAAATGAAAAGAACACCCTGTATTACGCGGACACTTGCAAGGGTTACCATTCGTGATCGAAAGAAGTTTGCTGCTAGTTTCGATCACGCAGGTTTCAACCAGACTGCTCTAGAGGCCACGTACATCTGTATAATTCAAACGACATACGACGCTCCTTAAATCGGGGTATGAAAAGGAAAAAGTAAAACTATTCTCAGCGTTCATTGAACAGTGATGTTATTCAATAACTGTGTAGTAACTTCCTTATTTGTATTCTATTACTTTTAGTACACGGGGGTGTAGGGCATGGCGCACGCGTGTTCAATAATATGGGTGTCAGTCAGGAGCAAAGAGACAATAAGAGAACATCGTTAATCTTCAATTAGCTAAATTACGCTGCTCTCGACATATTGCACTGAAAGTAACGTTACCTTGAGTAGCACCCTACTTTCAGGCCTGGGTCCGCTCCTGAGTTATTTTGAATATGATCACCGCATTTGCATTGCGTTTGCATTTGCGGAATAATTTCAAATTGTTTTTCTTTATATTGTAGTGCTGTTATAGTCTTCTGTTTCTATTCAATTAAGTTTTCGTTTTTGCGTGAGGTTATATAAGAATTACCTAACGCTGGTAGCTGTATCTTTTCGCCGGCAGTGTGCGCGTTGTTTTCGTTGAGGTCATTTCATTGCTACTTGATTTCAAAAAAGTCGGTCGTTTCGTTATTTTTGCCAGTGCCGTGTTGTTCTACGTTAAGAGATTTTTTAATACCTAACCAGGTAACGCCACAAATTGTAAGTTCATTTCTATTTCATTTAGTTTTTCGTCGTAGTTATTGTTGTTGTTATATATATACTTAGATGTTTGTATTAATTATTTGTTTTCAGTAAAATCATACACGCGCGTATCTACTTGTTTTTTACATCTAAATAGAAATCCACCTTGAAGATAAATCAAATGTGCATTTACCTTGTGGTGTGAATGTGTAGTTATCTATCTACACCGCATTTATGAACATTTGCACATGTGTAGAGTAAATTTTTTGCGCGCTGGTCAAAAGAATCATGATAGTAGAAACAAAGGGTGGTTCGAGGCTCACTAACAGAAACTAATGAAAAGACTGAGAAACTGATAAAGAAATATGTTGATGGCTTTCATTATGGGTACAAATTTAAATATTTCATTAGCGAACTCTATCTTACTCGTTCCCCCCTGTAGCAACCAGAATTTGCATTTCTATTTATTAATGTCAAGCAACTGCGAAATAGTTTTTTTATTGTTTTTCTTTCTACTGTACTACTATTGCAATGTTCTTTTCCTATTTACAGGCTGAACTATTTTTTCTGCCCATTTGATCTTTTGTTTTACCACGTCCTCGTTGTCGTGGCTATCAACATGGCTTTCTTTAAGTCCCAGATATATCACAGATGATAGTTGTCACAATCTCTTTCTCTAGCCCTCTGTAGTTCTTAAATCTAAAAATAGACACTCTACAACCAAGCACACAGTCTTTAAGTCTGGCTGTGGCTTAATAACACTGCTAGCCCGGTAACGCTTGATCAATCAGAAGTCACCAGGTAGGATTTCTTGGGTTAGGGTTAGGCCCCCCTTTCGTCTGTCTGGTGGTGCTGTGAACTGGCCATATGCTGCAAGTCTAATGTAGTGGAGTTAAAACTGCTTTCATTGTTTCGCTAAGTGTGGAGTTTTACTGTCAGATTGAGCTGGTTGGACAGCTGTTGGGCCTTTACCAAGTGTCACCTATTACGACTGTAGATGGTTCCAGACGCGTGAACTTCAAGTCATATGATCTTTCATCCATCCTGTGAATTATCTCAGTTTTCTTCCAAGTTTGTTGTCAAAGCAAAAATGGTGTCATTCGATCAGTGTTCCCTACCTTTAAGGTAGGCAAGTCACATGCAGTACGGTTGTAGTACTTTGCCAGTCACCTTTGATTTGATTACATCTGCTGCGTTTCGTGAGATTTCAGGGGATTTCTTAGCTCCAGCAGAGACTTTTTGGTTGTCAGTAGATTCCTAGAGGGGCTTCCTGATGTTGAGCGAAGCAAGGAATTGGTCTTTCCTTGTCTGTTGTTACGTAGTTTAACAGCTTACAGTATTTCATTGCCAGGTGGGATGGTCTATTATTCATAATATGACAGCTCATTCCATTACACAGTGAGATGGGTTGTTATTACATATATTAAAAGCCTATTTTATTACAAAATAGGATGGCCTGTTATTTCATAGTTAGACAGCTTATTTCATTACAAGTAAGATGGTCTGTTATTACATATGTTAATAGCCTATCATTACAAAATGGGATGGACTGTTATTTCATTGTTTGACAGCTTATTTCATTATAGGTAAGATAGTCTGTTATTAAACATATTAACAGCCTATTTTATTACAAAATGGGATGTTCTGTTATTTCATTGTTTAACAGCTTATTTAATTGCAAGTGAGATGGTCTGTTGTTACATATATTTAAAGCTTATTTCATTACAAAGTGGAATGGGTCATTATTACATCTTTTGGCGGGTCATTTCATTAGAACGTGGGATGATTCATCATCCTTGCAAATTGGAATGGTGTGTTATACATAGTCTAAAAGCGTTTTTCATTACAAAGTATATTGGTTTGTTATTACATAATTCTACAGCTTATTTCATTGCAAAATATATGAACTTCATATATTTCATTGTATCTGATTTATCACTTTCACGGGTTTATTACGAATCAACTTAACGGCCTGCTCCCAGTTGGCTTGTTAGCTCAATTGGTAGAGCGCTGCACTAGTATCGCAGAGGTCAGTGGTTCGAATCCCGTACAGGCCTGATTTTTTTCAGGTCTGATTTTCGCTATTGCTTAAATAGCGCTATCTACTGCGAGGATCGTGCATCATACGTAACTATTACTATGTTGCACAACTATTGTAATTAGCACCTCAACACTTGCACCTTCGCTATTCACACCCACCAACCACAATACTTGTAATTACCGTATATATCTGTGGACCCGTATATATCTGTGGACAAGCTCATTAAAAGTACAGTTTTGAACACGATAAGTAACGGTCAACAACTAGAAGTTTTAGAATTGCACGTAAATTCTTTTCTTCAGAGAAAGACTTAAAAAATCTCGAAAAAAGTATATATTAAAAAAACTCAGTGTTAATTTAACCTGGTAGATAAATTATCTACCAGATGATCGTCAACCGTTAAAATCCCTAAAACATAAGCGTCAACTCTCTTAAGAAACCCTTCATAACCCGCAATCAACAAAATCCAGACTGGACGGAAAAATGGCAAAAGTGAAAACAAAAACAAGCGAAAGCTGCTTTCTCAATTTTATCAGTAGAAGAAGCATCTGTTAACATTTATCATTTTACAAAATGGCTTTGAAGAGAAACGTGATAAAATCATACATTTTGAAACAGTGAGTCACCGCTTCTAGTCTGTCATTAAGTGCAGTAGTTGATAATGGTTTATCACAGCAGGTATCTGGCTCGAAAAGAAGGCATCCTGCAATAAATTTCCTTTTTAGACATCAAAGTTTCAATTGAAGGCAACGGTTTATGTACTATTGTGAATTACAAACCTACAGATTCACATAGTTACTTGTTGTATTCATCTTCGCATCCATCTCATGTGAAGAATTCCATTCCCTTTTCTAAGTTTCTGAGACTTCGTCGTTTATGTAGTGATGACTCTGATTTTTTTCACAAATCAGAGTCTATGTGCCAGTTTTTCAGAAAACGTGGTTACCCTGTTTCTGTTGTTCAAGCGGGTCACCATCGCACCCAACTTATTGATCGACAGTCAGCACTACAAACGTCACAGAAGGAAAATCCCGACCGCATTCCATTTACACTCACATTTCACCCTCACAACCACCCAGTTAAATCCATTATTCCCAAAAACTTGAAATTACTTCAAAACGATCTAAAGACTGGCACTATCTTTTCGCGACCTCCACTCATTTCATTCAAACGCGACAAAAACAAGGGCAATTTTTTCGTCAGAAGCTCATTACAAACTAATGACCCACCCGGCACTTTTAAATGCGCTCGCGCACGATGCAAAACTTGTTCTTTCATTCACAACGCTGAAAAAATATCGGGACC